GACACTGTCTTACAAAACCGAACACTGTTACTATACAATCCAATAACTGTGTTCCATGATATTTACCCAAACAGGCTGAAAATTATGGTCTCTAAAAAGCATGCACATGGATGTTTATAGCAACATGAGTCTTCATAATTTCCAAGTTTTGAAGCAGCCAAGATGTTCTTTGGTAGGTGAATGGATAAATAAATTGTGGTAGATCCAGGAAATAGAATATTATTCAGTGCTAAAGAGAAATGAGCTATTACACCATGAAAGACCTGGAGGAAACTTAAATTCATATTACTGAGTGAAAGCAGTCAATATAAAAAGGCTACACACCAATATACTTTTCAAACTATAAGGGCATTCTAGAAAATGCTAAACTATAGAGGTAGTAAAAAAAATCATAGGTTTTCAGGGATTAGGAAAGACAGAGTTTGGGGTATGTGTTTTTCATAGGATTGTTGAGCTATTTTTGCTTAGAGTATTTCAATTCCACATCAAGACTACCTGATGTGATTGTTTAGCTCAGTCTCTAGGCATCTGTAAATCCTTCAGGCTACCAGGCTGAGAAGCCCGAGTGAATAACACAGAAGAGTCATGACTATACACAGAAGGAAGCCGATTTCCTGGGATAGCCCAAGTGATAACAGAGTCAAGCAAGGAAGCAACTGTGTACACAGACACACTACTACTACTACAATTACTATTACCACTACTGCTACTGTAAAAAAATGATGTCCTTCTCTTTCGGGTTGAGACCCAAGCCAGCTTTCTCAGGAGCCCTCCTCTTCTGCAACAGTATAATGGTCTTTCCTGCTGATGTGATGAGAAACCTGCAATCTTAACTCCACTCTCTGATGGATTGCTTTCACTTTTCCCCCCAGCTACGTTTTGAGAGGAATGGGAACAGGCATTAGCTATTGTTTTAATCACTACTCTTCTGTGAGACTATTTCTTTTTAAAGGTTCTATCTCTAGAGAAAGATGAACTCGCTTTAATTTCCCTTTGAATTTAAAACTTAATATTTTAACAGATTAATACAAGTGCTATTTAAACTAAGCAAGACTGTTTAGCATCTTAAACCTTGAATCTTTCATTTAATGGATCGGCTCTACATACTTAAAAAACATTTCATTTTGACAAACGAAAAAAAAAAAAAAGGATCATAAGAGACCCAGAATTTAGCCTTAAACAATCCACTCAACCTTGTCTAAGACTTTCTTCCATTTGATAGCTTCTGCCCATCCTACAGCATTGCAAATGACTTAGAAACAAATATGAATGATGGATAAACTAGACAAGACGTTCATATCTGATAATGTAGAGGAAAGACAGGATCAATAACATATTTTAATGATACTAAAAAGCTCAAAATAAATGATTAATTTGTATTTTCTTAGTACCATTTGTTTAATCAAACTTAAAATATCAAAATGCTTATAATTTCAACTATTCAGCAATCTGCTGGGAGATTCTCTTAACCTACTATAACAAATTATGTCACTTCCCTTCTGTCGACCTTACCTCTCTCACCTGTAAACTAATGGAGAAGAAGCAGCTGGCATAAAATTTTGTTATCCATGCTGACATTGTTTAAAATATTACTTAATTTTCCTTCAGTAAGTTTTAAAAATTAGAGTGGTTCATTCGAGCTTTATTTTTTACAAAATTTGCTCTGTGAAAAAAAATCTTTGATATCATTACCTCAATTTGCATGTACACATTCGGCATGACAATATTATATGAAGAACTGCTGTGATGTCATTCTAATGGCACAAGCCACATGGAAAAAACGTCGCTTTAAAATAGGACACAATAATAAAAATACCTAAAATATACTAAGTATATGGTACATGGTAAAATTCTTAGAACAGTGCCTGGCATAACATGAGAGCTCAACTAAATCTTCAGCTGTTATTAATTTATTTGATGTTTAAAATAATCTATTAGGTAGGTACTATTATTATTATTTTGAAACAGAGATTCACTCTTGTGGCCTAGGCTGGAGTGCAATGGCACCATCTCAGCTCACAGCAACCTCTGCTTCCTGGGTTCAAGCAATTCTCCTGCCTCAACTTTCCAAGTAGCTGGGATTACAGGCATGTGCCACCATCCCTGGCTAATTTTGTATTTTTTGTAGAGATGGGGTTTCTTCATGTTGGTCAGGGTGGTCTCGAACTCCCAACCTCAGGCAATCCACCTGCCTCAGCCTCACAAAGCGCTGGGATTACAGTCGTAAGCCACGGCACCCAGCCACCATTATTATAGTAATTTACATTTATGCATTAATTAGGAAACAGTAGGTCATGTTAATTACACAAGATAGTAAGTTTGAAAGACTCACAATTTTCTAAAAGGTAATTTAGTTCCCAGAAACAGTCTCCTGGTACATAACCATATATATTACCTCTGTCTGTGGAAAGGGTGGGAAGGGAACTTCATTACTTGGAATTCAATACCATTTTACAAGAATTCCTCTAGAGTGACAGTTCCCCCAAAATAAACAAAATATTAACCCTGCTAAATAAAACTGAACATATAAATAAAACACAAGTTTTCATAGAATCACTGTTAAACCTAGAGCATAGTCAAATATAAAAAAAAAATACAGGCTATATCTATCATTTCCACTGTTTGCAGATAAAAATGAGTTTCAAAGATGGGTAGTGACTTATTGAGACTGTGTTACAACTAAAACAGCCTCCTACTTGCAATAACGCATGCTGTCCAATCACGTAAGTTAACCCTTCTATTTGGATCTATTGCTATTTGGGAAACTGACTCTGGAGGTAAATTGGATATCTTTCCTAATTTGACTGAGAAACTGCCCTGTCGTCATTACATATCCTACACAGTTTTAATTTTTTTCTTTTGAGTCAGTCTTTCCCAGTCACCCAGGCTGGAGTGCAATGGTGCAATCTAGGCTCACTGTAACCTCTACCTCCAGGGTTCACACGATTCTCCTGCCTCAGCCTCCCAAGCAGCTGGGATTACACTGGGATTACAGGTGCCCCCCACCACGCCCAGCTAATTTTTGTATTTTTAGTAAAGACTGGGTTTCACCATGTTGGCCAGGCTGGTCTCGAACTCCTGACCTCATGATCCACCCTCCCCCCCTTGGCCTCCCAAAGTGCTGTGATTGCAGGTGTGAGTCACTGCTAAAATTTTCACCTCTGAGAGACATATATCCAAGTTACAATCTATTCACATTATATTTACTGTAGACCAGGAAAAAATGAAACTATAACACATATCTCTACCAGCTTCTTGAAATATGTATATCAAAACATGAAACTTTAACATAAAGCCACTTGGTTTAGAATATAGTGGTATGATGTCTTTTAGTACTTATAAATATAATGGCAAAAAAGAATGTATAAATAATCTTCCGAAATACACGGAAGTACAAAATGAGATCTCGTTGCTGATTTCATTTTGAAAGTGTGTTCTGCAACTCCATAAAATAGTTCTTTTTAAGTAGTTTTCTATTTAATTCTAATTAGTTCTTTTTAAGCAGTTTTATATATCATTTAGACTGATGAGTAACCACAAAGTCAAAGATCCAAAAGAATGAATGAAACCTACATATATTCTAATCTTTCCAAATATAATTTTCAAAGCTCGAGAACAGAGTGAAAATAGGTGCCATAACCAAATGAATCAGACTCTCCAAAATAACATATGGAGTTTTAAACACGAAATCTTGTATAATGTTGTTAAATTTTTGAAAAGTAAAGTTATTTGGAATTTATGGATCAAAAACGTATCTAGTTCTTTGCAGAAGACACTTGCTTAGATGTAACAGGGTATCGTTGTTCTCACCCCACACCCCACTCCCAGTTTGTAAGAGGAAAATCAAGACACAGAAATTGAATTAGCACTTGCAAGATTAATAGACACAACACTTTGAAGATAACTTATACAAGCCTTAAAGAACCTTAAATAATTAGACAATGGAAGAAACGTGATGTAACAGCACATCATTTTGCAAGACTTCAGCAGAAAAGAATCACACTTATTTGCTATTAGTTTGGTGCGGGTTTTTTTTTTTTAATTAAAATTTTAATGGCCTTTCTCAATATCTCAGTTCATTCAAAGGGTCTGATTTTCCTTCTTTTCCTCCCAGAGGACCCGGCTGAAGCCCAAGGCTGATTGGGACCCTCCTGCCTCAGCACCGAGGACACAAATCGTTAAATCTCCAGGGGAAACTTACCCCTAACCACCGCCAGGTGTCTACTTTTCAGACAAAGCAAGAAAAAGGAAAGATACCTGCCTTGCCAGCCATCTGTTTAAGAGTCCCCTCTCCTGTGGAACGCACGAGCAACTTCTCGGAGACAGCGAACAACTCCAAGTCGCGCGCCGCCCCGCAAATCGCAACCAGAGAGCCGCGAGAAGGTGCGAACGCGGGTCCCAGCCAGAGCCGCTTGGAGAGGGACCCGCAGGTTTCAGCCCAGGCGCGCTCGGCCAAAGCTAACGCGCTCGCTCTACAAGCATGGGTGACTTCAGGGATTTAAAAGAAAAAAAGACCCACAGACAGAACCAGCGGAGGGGCCCTGACCTCTCCCCAGTCGGGAAACGGCTTCCCTCCACCACAGACTGCGCTGAATTCAGCAGAGAAGGGCGGCGGAGAGGGCCCCGGGAGAAAGAAAGGGGGCATCCTGCCGTGTTTCACGGCTGGGGAAAGAACGTTTTCTCACCACTTGGGCTGTCGCTGGACCTCAGGCTCCTTCCACAGAGACACTGCAGCATATGCACTCCTTTCTTCAGAGAAAGCTCAAGAATCTTCATGGAGAGGCGCGTGTGGGGTTGGTAACTCCCCGCCCACCTCCGCTAGTCGTCCAACCAACAGGCGGCCTCTCTTGGGAAGCCGGGTCCCGAGTCCATCGTGAGCGCACAGGTGGAGGGGAGTTTGCACGTGGAGCGGGCGGGAGCCCGGGCGCCGGGAAGGCGCGGGAGGGGACGCGGGAGGGAGCCCGGGCGCCGGGAAGGGGCGGGCGGGAGGGTAGGGACCAGGAAGTGGCGCCTCCGAGAGCCAGAGGCGCCGCCACCCCTCGGTGAGCTCCAATGCGGCCCCTTGGGACCTTCTGGAGGCGGCTGCTGGTCGGCGGGAGACGCGGAGGACGTCACCGCGGGTCGGTGCTTCCTTGCAGGTGCCTTCTGGACCGGGGGCCGCGGCACCTCCCCTGCTCCTGCCCTCGGCGCCGGACCCTGAGCCCTGGGAGCCCGCCTACCTCGGTGTCCCCGCCGTCCCGGCCTCCGGCCCGGAAGGCAGCCGTCCCGCGGGCTGCGCGCGGCCCGGGGCGACTCCGGCGTGGGAATGCGGCGGAAGGGAAGCACCCGCCGGGAGGGCTGGACCCCGGAGGCTGCAGAGCGTCAGAAGCGACTCTAGGGAACTAGGGGTGGGGTAGGGAGGCGGGGACGTGGAATAAAGAAAGCTCTTGGGTGCGGGCTATGAAAAGTCAGGTATGCGTAGGCGTGGACAGAGGGCTGATGTGGGAGTTTGGACACCTGGATTTTCTGGTCGGGGCTCTGTGTCCGTGGGTAAGTCACTCACCACCCTGGGCGTCTCCCTGTCAATCCGGGTGGGGAAGAGGGTGTGGGATAGAGGATTGACAGCGGCGCGCTTGTTTGTCCCCGTGCCTTTCAGTCCCCTAGAAAAGGGTAGCATAGGTGCAGTGGGAAGTGGGGCCAGAAGGCAAAGAGGAAGACGAGGCAGGTCAGGCGGGAAATCTGAGGACAAAAGAGCGCTTCGCTTTGGCGCCAGTATTCTAGAGGCTCTGCCTCTGCCAGCCCGCCCAGATGAGTCTAAAGATCTCGATTTTTCCCCCTGACTCTTATTTTCTCTGTTTTCTTTTCATAATTCCAACAATACCCTTTTGGAAGTGCAATGAGTAAGCATGGGAAGAATGCTGTCGAAGTGACAGGACGCCACCCTAGGTGGAACCTCAGGGCAAAAGCGGACCTTAGGGGGGCACTTAGCAATACAGCAGGTGGTTAAGAGCACAGACACTAGAGATAAGCAGCCTGAGTTCAAATTCCTACCAGCTGTATGACCTTAAACAAATTACTTAACTTCTCTCTGCCTCAATTTTCTCATCTTTGAAAGAAAGTTAAGGATAGCATCTGTCTCATTCACTCCTTGAGAGTTAAGGAAACACTTGTTATAAAGTAAGTGCTATAATAGTGTTTGCAATTATTATTTAGCCCCCACCTGTAGGGTTGTGACTCATTTTCACTTTCCGATGAATACCAGTGTTCATACCAGTAAATTTCTGCTTGAATAGTCCTGGTGACAGGGAACTCAGCAGCTCCCTAGGTAATTCATTGCACAAAAACTGTTAGGTTTTCCCTGAGGTTGAGCCAACAACTGACTTCACCTTTGTTCCACCCATTGTCTCAAGGCTGCCTAGCACTAACTGTTTAGCTCTTTCTTCCCTGCAAGGGAGTAAAAATGGTTTGCATCACACCTTTCCTCTTTCTCTTATATAGGCTAAACATTTGCAGAGGAACTGCAAATGTTTAGCCTGTATAATGACATTGTAGAAGACAGTGTGGCGATTCCTCAAGGATCTAGAAATAGAAATACCATTTCACCCAGCAATCCCATTACTGGGTATGTACCTAAAGGATTATAAAGTGTTCTATTACAAAGACACATGCACACATATGTTCATTGTGAAACTGTTTACAATAGCAAAGACTTGGAAACAACCCAAATGCCCATCAATGATAGACTGGATAAAGAAACTGTAGCTTTAGGTTGAAGACCTCAAGAAAAAAAAAAAAGAAAAGAAAATGTGGAACATATACACCATGGAATACTATGCAGCCATAAAAAAGGATGAGTTCATGTCCTTTGAAAGGAACATGGATGAATCTGGAAACCATCATTATCAGCAAACTGACAAACAGAAAACCAAACAGCACATGTTTTCACTCGTAAGTGGGTGTTGAACAATGAGTACACAGGGAGGGTAACATCACACACTGGGGTCTGTTGAGGAGTGAGGGGCTAGGGGAGGGATAGCAGGGGGTGGGGAGATTGGGGAGGTATAACATTAGGAGAAATACCTAATGTAGGTGATGGGTGATGGAGGCAGCAAACCACCATGGCATGTGTATACCTACGTGACAATCCTGCAAGATCTGCACATGTACCCCAGAACTTACAGTAAAATGAAAAAAAAATGTGGTTTGAAGTTTGGGAGAAGTCTACCTTCTTCCTCTCAGAGGCAGTGGAAGAAAAACCAGAACATCTGGAGGACCACTTGAACTTACACCCACCACTGGGTTCACACCCTCTTAGCTCATTTCAAAGCTCAAGCTCCAGGAAAGGTCATTTGGAGTGGTTCCAAGACCAAGAAGATATACCCAGGCCTTCTTTCTAGTCACCTCTTAGTCCTATTGTTCAGTGATATCACTAAAGCTCTTTAAGCTCCAAGGTCCTTGAAGATCTTGCTAAAACCACTGCACTGACATCACTGAAGAAGTTATTCAGCCCCGGGGCAACCTGAGCCATGGCCTTCATCTTTCCTGCCTCTTTGAGAATTAGTGAGAAACTTGGCTCATCTGGGATTCTACCCATAGAAATTCCCCACAGAGGGAGAGACAATTAGCAAAAGGAAAACATCTAAAAATAGTCCTTTGTGCTGCAGCAGAACACAGTTTTCCAGTAGAGCTCTCCTATTCAGGAACCCAATGCCTGGAGCTATTTCCTTACTTTGAGGAAAGTGCTGTTCCTGGAAAAACAGCAAATGAACAGGACAATGCCATGGTTCCCTCAACGGAACTTGAGCAGAGTGAACAGGTCCATGTGTGATTTTAAAAACATATGACCTCCTGAGCATCAGTTTTTATATTTATCATAACCCTCTCTGCCTCCTGGCAAGGTTGTGACAAAGTTCAGTTAGGTAAAACATATGAAAGTGCTTTGAAGATTCTAATTATCTTTGCAAGATAGGGTGCTATTACCAACTTCCCTGGGTTCTAGGTGTTAGACTATTAAGGTCTAATACAGTGGCTCTATTATTTCATTATAGGAAGCCTTTATATTCGAATCTTCTGACTCCACAACAGGATTGTAAACTTTTAGGATGCAGAGCAGAAAAGCCAACTCAGTACAATTAATATTCACATGGTGTACTGTCTTGTTTAAATGGCTGTTACCATGATTCTTATGACCAGAGAGGAAACGGATCATCACAGTACTTGTAAAAACAAACTGAAGTATTATATTTATAGATTTTTTGTTGTTACTGAGCTCTCAGATGATTTCAGAGGGCATGTAACATTTTAATGCAAAATATTTTCTCACCATATAGTACAGATATTTGATAATAGTAAGTTTCAACTTTGTAAGTAAGTATAAAAGGGATTTGATCACTGGAATTTTAATACTTAGTATTTTGGTTTAAAAAAAAGGATCTTGCACTTATCAGGACTTCAGTGTGCAAGCTTTTTAAAGCAACTCCTCATGTGATTGTCATCTACTTCCACAATTAGGCATATAGAGTGCAATCTTTCTGAGGTATCTTGAGCAATATATCAGAATTAGTTTTTATATGTATCATAACATCCAAAAACAAGACCAAACAGAACAAATAGCCAGGGGCACATGAAGGGTAAGAAAGTGATGTATTTTAGTTTGAACCAAAACTTTCATCTTTTCTCCTTTTTGTATATTATTCCATAAGCCAAACTCAAAATTTTACTGGCAATAATATTTTAATTTTAAATTCAAGATATTGTTTTAATACTGAAATTTTAAATTATGCTATCTGTTTCTAATTGAGATTTTTAAAGTTAGCCACTCTTTCTGTATTCTAATTGACTTAGGCATGTTGGACAAATTCTAGCAAGCAACTGACTAGTATGGTTTCAAAATAGAATAAGTTAGCACTTTTTGAGAAGGATTGGGAATTCTGGCGTATAATGACGGATGAACGTGTTTGAATTCCTAGTACCTAATTTTTTTCCTTTTTAAAAAGTATTCATTACTAAGAGTTTGTAGAAATTAATAATTGTGTGAGGGAGTTCTGAGATTTTTAAATGGTGACTTCTCTAAGATATTGTCTATTAACACTAAACATAGGCATCTGTCCACTCTTGGCATCAACTGTGAAATTAATTAGTGTATTTATCTGTTTGGAAGTGTATGTTGAATCAGTAATAACGTATAAAGAATTGTGTCAAGTCTCAAAACTTTTAATGAGTATATAAATGGCAAATGTCTATTGAATTAATATTAAATTTATTTTCGCAAAGAAACCCACATATAAACTAATAGATGAAAGTAAGACATCTAACATTGTATTTTTGTTCCATGTTATGTATACAGCCCATTGACTCTGAAAGGGCACAAAACCATGCCTGTAGCTCTCATCTTACCAATACCTTCAAATACAATCTTGAATTGTTTTTAAAATACTTCAAATACTGTTTTTAAAACTCAAACATGTTATTTTAAAATTTCTCTTCTTTTGTTTTTTTTTATTTTTTTCCTTCCTCTCCCCTCCTACTCCTATTCCTCCTCTTTCTCCTTCTCCTCCTCTTCCTCTTCTTCATCTTCATCTCTTTCTATACTTTTCCAAACCTTTTTATTTTTAAATAAGTTTCCCCTCATACAAATGTTATAAAATAAGACAAGAGTTCGTACATGTCCGTTACCCAATTTCTCTAATGTTAGTGGCTTTCATAACCAGTGTACAAATATCAAATCCAGAACATTTACACTAGTACCTTGTGATTACAAACTTTATTCAGCTTTCACTAGTTCTCCCCCAGCCCCACGTCCTTTTTCTGTACCAGATACAACTAGGACCCACATTGCATTTGATTGTCATGTCACTTGAATCTCCTTCAATCTGTGAAGGTCCCTTGGTCTCCCTGTCTTTCATTACCTTGGCACTTCTAATAAATATTGGTCAAATATTTTGTGGAATGTCCTTCAATTTGGGTTTGTCCAGTGTTTTATAATGATTAGGCTAAGGTTATTCATTTGCCAAGAATGACATAGAAGTGATATTGTATCCTTAGTATATCATTATGGCAGGGGGGTGGTACATAATGTTAATTAGTGATATTAACCATGATTGCCTGGTTGAGGTTATATCTACTAGGTTTCCATACTGTAAAGTTACATTTTTTTATTTATAATTGATAAATATGTTGAAAAATTTTGATGCTGTGCTGATGTCCTATTTTTCCTCAAACTTTTGTCCACTGATTTTAGCATCCATTGGCAGATCTTGCTTGCAACAGTTATTACTGTGCTGTTTGCCTAATAGTGACTTTTGTATTTCCTTTATTCTGTCTAAAGTAATAGAAATTCTTTTGTAAGAGCTGTTCCTTCTCCTGCATTTACTTATTCAGTTATTTATTTATATTAGTATGATCTCATGGATATTTATTCTAAGAATTATAATCCAATATGATCATTAGTTATTTTTGGCCAAAAGTGTTCTGGATTTAGCCATTGAGAGTTCCTTCTGATTTGTTATTGTATCCTTTGGACATACCCCAATTGTTTTTTAGCAGT